CCTAGCGGCAAAAATATTGGCTGTGGTCTCAGAGCATTGAGACCGCACGTCCATATCGTCGTGACGTTGGCTCCTTCCCCCCCTTTCCTCTACTTTTTAAAAAACAGATTCTGTATGCTTTATTGTTTCATTGGTCAGGAATGATCTCTTCAATTTTCAAAGAGGAAAACCAGGGGCAATTAATTGCTAAAGGAGCAATATAAGCAGAGATAAACAACAGAAAGAAAACGTTGTTCTGGTCCCATGTAGCCTGTGGAGGGGTGGTGGGGAAGCAACATGTAAGCAGCTTAAGAAAATCCAGAAGGCTGCTTCTGGTGGCAAGCAATGAGGAATAAAGAGCTACTGCCTTTTACTTCTTCTCTAGAACATTCTTTCTTAACTTCAGCAATTTTAAGACGCATGGACTGGGGAATTCTGGAAGTTGGTCCATGCATCGTGAAGTTGTTGAAGTTGAAAAACACTGCTCCAAGTGATTTGTTTTTCCTTATATTTTTGAGAAAGGGAAAACAGAAAGAACTAAGAGCTGAAGAAAAATTGAGTAGAGATCAATCTTACTCCAGCTGATCTCTTCCTTGTGTGTTGCCATGACTGTGTCCAAAACTCCCAGCTCACGTGGTGAAAGTGAGTTACAGCTCCAGTACATCTGGAAAGCATCAACTTATGGAAAGATAGAACGAAAAAATAGCAAGATGGAGAAAAGCAGCCCAGGGGCTCTACAAATCCCTCTGCTTTTCTGTGCTTCCATAATGTCAACAAATCATAGATAGGCTTACACACCGCTAACTTTTTGTGTAAAGAGCACAGCACAAAGAGACAGCATGAAGCCACCCAGTCCCACATCTTAGAAGTGGGTAGCTCTCAAATGCTTGGCGGCCTTGCAGTTTCTTTTTCCTCTAATTAATGTTTGGATTCCATAGGCTGAAGAGGAGTTCTATAAAGCCCAAACTGTCTTCGAGGAACTCAATAAAGAACTACGAGAAGAACTGCCGGTCCTTTACAACAGGTAATACACGCTAGTTGCAACTGCAGAGGAAGTGCAGCTTTTATAGCATCATGTTTAAGATTGGGTTGCAAACCTACAAGTCTCGTCTTTGCACAGCTTATCTAGATTGCTAAATTCAGACTTGGGAGAAGTCTACTGGACATTTAACCAGCACAGGAGATAAGAATCTCTATTACAGACTCGACTGAAACTGTATTAAGATGCTGACTGCTCTCTGTCAACATGAGAGTACAATTCCCGCTGTTTAAACCTATGGCTGATGCTTCTGTCTTTTCTCATGTTCAAATGACTCTTTGCTCTGTGCTTCGTCTTCCTGAAGCCAAGTTATTTGGGGTTGTTGACATAGCTGACATCTCTGCTCTGAAAATCTTTAGCTCCATCTCCACCATGCCTCTCGTAGGAAGAATTGGTGATTCAAAGGTCAAATATTCCCACAGACCACAAAAAAAGAGTTTAATTCTTCATATGAGCCGAGGTGGCGCAGTGGTTAAATGCAGCACTGCAGGCTACTTCAG